CGAAAAAACATACCAAATAATTTCTATGAATACCCACCACTTCAAAATGGCATATTAATAACCTAACGGGTAGCAAGGGTTGTAATAAAAATGGAATAAACATGATGGTGAAACCGATTGCCATGTGCTAAAGCCAAAATTAATCCCTATGAAACGGATCCAGCGGGATATAGGTGTGAATAGGAATATACTGAATAAGTATTGCGAGTAATAGACAAGTCAATTCAGTTTCTTATCGGTTTGAATGAATAAAGAAGTGAAATTGGATATTAATCACAAATCAAATACCATGTGATCACTTGCATTATAAAAATATTCGGTTCAATACTTTATAATATATAATAAAACGATTAAACAATGTTTTAGAATTCTTCATCTATCATGTACTTTATTATTCACTAGCTGCGCTATTTCCGTTCATAAAACGGAACAAAGCATAATTACCTGTTAAACCATACTTCCTACTTTTAATGTCATATTACGTTTTTTCACTTGTTTTTAATCCTTCAGTAGAAAAATTAATTTTCGTAAATAAAATGTTGCTGTTGCACAAACTAAGCATCATTTTTAATGTCTGTGACTTATAAAAGCTGCAGACAATCATCTCGTTCAACCGGATGAAAAACTCAAAACTGCTGAATTAGTAAAAATTTTGCATTTATCACTAATCAAATGATTACAATAGATTGTAAGATGATTAATGGACGGGTTTTTGGCCATTTTTATCGTAAGAGAAATATTATACCGGGACTGACAAAAATTTATATTTGGAATGTGTGCCTATGGTGGGTGTACCAGCGCATGCTCAGAAACAGGATTTGAAACTGATGCTGTGTAATTCAATGGATTAAATATTATTAACTGTGGTTGATCCTAGCGCACCAGAAAAGTGTGTTTATTTGAGTGAGTTTATGTGTGAAGTGATGAGTCGGAACTTACTTAAAAACTACGCTGTAACTAACCAACAAAAGCAAATAAATATACAATAACTGCTTGTGATATTAATAAATAGAGCCGGTATTTAATTCGTTTTTCATTTACAAGCATGTTTTTATCACTCGATTTATCAGGCATCAAGAATCGTGTTTAACAAAATCAATTAAAAGTATAAATAGTAGCATTTTTGCGCTATTTCATGAGTGCCACTGAACTATTGCTTTTCTTAACCTATTTATTATCTGTATGTGGAAGTGATGATCGTTTTGCCTATCAAGATTCTCCTATATGTGCAAGCTATGACCTAAAAGTATCATTTGGAACACCAACAAGTACATTTGAATGTGAAAACGAAAACATATTTCAGACAAAATATCAAAAACATGATCTCAATAACGATGCATTACCACGGGTACAAAGTTCGTGCATAAGAAACATGTGCAAACACAGATACAATCTTTCAGCTCAACAATCGGCTTCTTTTACATGTCCACCAACCGGTAGCATTCCAAGTTCATGCAAAAGAATATTTTGTACGAAAGATAAATACATAAAAACCGTAATGCCATATATGGCATCAAAATACGGAATTACCGATTCTAAAGCGTATAAAGAAGTCCTTTCTACAATCTACAACTTCTTCAGGGGCGATATGAACCGAATAATCATCGTTCTGGCACATTCTATCTTCACAACCAGTGGTTTTACTCAATTAGTGAATGTCAATACAGTTCATGATAAGTACGGATGTAAAGGAATATTGCAATTCTATGGTGAATCGAACTACAAACTGGCGAGCGAAAATTTTGATTTCGTTAAATATCCTAGCGAGATGGCTGTTTTGGGAACCAGGAGTACCATCGGAACACTACAAGGATATTGCAAGATCAACCCTGATGATATTTCTAATTATTTCTTTGAATCGTTGGTCGGACTCAATCCAGGCGAAGTTCAGATAATGAACCTAAAAAAAGAATCTACTCGGCTAAAAATAACAGAACGGGTTAGAGTGTTGAACGAGCTTAAAAATATATTCAACGTAGAGATTTTATTTGCGAAATCAGGAAAACATATACCGGTAGAAATACAAAGAATACTGCAAGACATGCCGGAATTGATTTTCAACACGAAATTGAATTCAGCAGATACAATCATTCTCATGTAAGTAGTAGGATTTGCGGTGGAATGCGATAACTAAAAATCTTTTTGTCAACGGGTGTGAGTCAGATTACAACTTCTTGGTTGATTTCTGTTCCCTGTTATATTCATATTTGTAATACATGATAGGACATCGCTGGAGAACAGCAACATTTTTAATAGCAGTTCATGTTTTGTCATAATATTGTTGTGATAGTGGACCAAATTACCTATGATGTATGAAATATATTTATAGTGCCATAATAATCTTGACAGAAATAGTACCAATTCCGGATTGTCCTTGTTGCTTCATGAGGTAGAAACACCATATTTAAAACATTTTATAACCCGGCAACCAATTCACTGGTACCAACCATAAATGAATGTAAATATAAAATATAATATTGTTTTTATTATTTTAACACTATTCGTTTGGATAGAGAGCCTTATTCTGTTTCTGAGATATCAAAAATTTTTAGTTTTTCATGATGATATATTATAAAACACGTTAACCAAGAATAAATGACTGTAAATTCATCATTATCACCAAAAACTTACGACAATGACATACTCTCGGAATGAAAAAATTTTATGAGAATGGCAATGACATATTACACGAGAACGAGTTAATTATTCCTTTGACATCTTAAGTTATTGTCTACACAAGATTAACAACAAGAAGCAGCTGACTTGGCATGATTTATTTTGTTAAAGTTTGAATATCATGTTCTATTCATTAACTAAACCTTCGAGTGCCGGACTAAGTAACTCTGAAATGGAGCAATTTGGAATATTATGATATTTTTTGGCACTTACAAACTTACATTGGAGGTAACCGTACATTATTTATGCATGTGTGCAAAGAACTGTTCATAATCGGACTACTTCAAACCATCCTGAACGTTTCTCTACAGGTTGTTCGTGTGTAATAATAAAAACAAAAAAAACAGCCCTCAAATGGACAACCTCATAGGTAACAAGCCACCTCTCTCTAAATGCTCATATTATCGTTACCAAATAAAAAATTTAGAGGTGCTCTACATCCGTGATACCAACGCAAAAAGAACATATGTTGCTATGGCTGTTGATTGTGGCAGTAAATACGATACAAAACCGGGACTTGCTCATCTACTCGAACATTTGCTGTTTATCTCACCAGAACAGGAGCAAGCAAATGATTTAGGCATAGGTTTGGATTCTTTGACATGTCCCATCAAGGACAATACCCAGCAGGACATAGCAGATAGCGATGTCTTGAAAGCGCCAAGCCAAGATGATGGCGAAGGCTGTACAAAAGAGGACTTAGACGTTGCTAAACTTGTATGTGATGCTTTGAATAATCGAGGAGATAGTAGTCAAGATACAGATTCAGCCCCGCCCAAAATAAACGACTTTGATAGCTTCCTGAACATATATAATGGCGACAGCAACGCTTATACGACTGAAGACGAGACAGTATATCATTATGAACTGGACACTGCGGGTATTCGCCAAAGTTTCCGTCTATTTGCCAATTTTTTCAAGCATCCTTCCATCAACGAGCAAACAATTATGACCGAATCACGAGTAGTTGATTCTGAATTTCAAAACCGCAAGTATGACGATGAATCGCGTATAAATCGAATTTTGGAGATTTCAGTGGGAAAGCAATTCTCAACTGGATCGTTAAAATCTTTTGGTTGCAATTACCAAGAATTGAAAAAACATTGTGTAGATTTGTACACCACAAAGTACAGGAGAATGGTACTTGTGGTGTGTTCTGCAGGTGAAAATGAGGAGATGAAAAAAATTATCGAAGAAAACTTTTCGCTAGACCTGGACAAGCTTGTTTATATGGATAGGAAATGTTTGATCTGTTCAGGGAAAGAAGAGTGTGAAGTAACAAACAACTCTGAGACTAAGCACAAAGCGGAAGATGGCAACATGAATGATCATGCGCCTGGTCGAAAGGATGTATCCAGTGAAGTGTCTCAAAGCGTTCCTTGTGATGGTCTATGTACCTCCAAAGACATGGGACAAAAGTTCGATAGTAACCTAAGAATAACAAAGTTGTACAAGTATAAGCCTATTTTTCCGAAGAAACGGGTGATTGTGAGCATATCCCTACCAAGCGAACTCGTGCAATACCACAACATGTACGATAGCTTGGTATATTTTTTCTCCAAGGAGGACCACTCATCGCTGCTGTATACTCTTAGAAAAGACCAATTGATATTCAACGGAACAGTAAACACGATTACAACACAGAGAGAGACAATGCTCTGCTTCGACTTCATAGTTCCCTCTACAGACGTGTACAACGTTATCACCGATGAGATAAATCGGTACTTCCAAATTTACAAGGACACACAAAGTATGACAAGCTATTACAGTAAAATAGAGAGAGATGTGAACTGGCAACTGTACGAGGATGAAGACATGAGGATTCATGTTGTAGATTGCGCCGAAAAGATTTTGAGGAGCAAAGTGCTATTCACCGATTTGATGTTTGAACACGAATGCAAGAATTTAGTTATGGAGGAGTGTACAGTTATCCTTGTAGACGATAAGTATGAATGCGAAAAGGTGACTGACGATGAGTACGAACTTCGTTATGAAAAGATCGAATGTGCAGAAGAATTTGGGAGGCGGCTAAAGGGTGACATGTCGAGCGAGGCTGATCTTGTTGATAATGACAATGGCAATCATAAAAAAGACGTGGCAATGTGTGCGGATGAAATAAATGCCAATCAGCATACCGAAACTGAAAAAGGAGTTGTTGATCCACATCACAATCGGGTAACTCGGAAGAAAGAGAAATTCGATAGAAATAATCGTCGGTTCGGAATCAAAAACATCGTTGGTTCGGTCATAAAGGATAAGGACATAAACACCATCTTGAAAATAATCAAGTGCGGAGAAAGCAGGCTTGTTTTCATCAAAGATTCTTTTACAAGTTCGAAGACCGTAATTCATCTTTTTCTACGGTATCGCACATCAATACTGGACGTCATTAATTTGGCAGAATTGGTAGGTCAGATGAACGTTCTGTATAATCACATTCTAAGGAGCAATGCAATTGCAATTACACATCACATATGTCATAATGGCATTCTTTTTGAAATATCCGGTCTTAATCCGTTCTTTGTACTCATAAACATCCTGAATTTCGAAGGGATCTTGGGAATGATGAGCAGTAAAATAGACAAACTGAATGTGTTGAATGATGTAAAGGTAAGTCTGGAAGATGAAATGTATGAGTCGGGATACAAGAGAACTAGTAACAGCATTAAAAATGTGTACATCGAGGGATATCAAACCATTGAGAAAGAGTACGAAATAGTAAAAGAGATGATTGAGCAGTGGTCCATTCAAGAAAATACGGATGAAAATGGTGTTGCTGATGAGATGAGATGTGGTATAAGTGCTTGTAAGGCTGGCACTGGCGGTGAGATAAACAGGTTCATTCCATTTAATGAAGCGCAAAGCGTTCTTCTTATCGTAAATGGGTATTCAAATGAAGAATGTTATCACGAAGTGTTCAGAAAAATATGTGCACGAATGCAAGGAAAGGGGCCAGCTCTGGAAATAGGAATTAGAGAGGAGTATGGGAGCACGAAGGATGTGTTTTCGGTGTTACAGGGAGAAAATAAAAGAACAGATTGTAATATGGTTGGAGAAAAGAAGGATCTATGCCATATTAATAGTCCAAAATGCATCAATGACATCCTTGCGAAGTACAGGTCGAAAAATGATTGTCTTGTGTTCAACAAAATGATAAACGCTCGGATGACGATAAAAGCACGAAACAATTCTAATTCCGTATTCTTTCGGATTGGCGAAGGCATAAAAAGCTTAGCAATTTGCAAAATACTTGTTCATCTTATGAATGAAAAATTCTTTACGTCCCTTCGCACAGAGCAGAGCCTAGGGTATGTTGTTTATTGCAGTTATAAGTCAATTAAGAATATGCACTTTCTCTTTTTCAGCGTGCAAAGCGATCAAGACGTACTTTTTAATATCTTTGAGTTCATCGAGGATTTTGATATCAGGTTGGAATGCTTTGAGTCTCTGAAGAATGAAATAATGGAGAAGATGAAGTCTAGAGCACAGGTAACCAAACACTATTTCAACATATTTTATTGTAGCTTTGATAACGTGGATACATTCAGGCATGATGTATGCAATTGTATAGATAGCGTAACTGTGGATGATTTGAAAAGGGCTCTGAAGGAAGGTGAACTTTGTGTGATTAAGGCCGAAGAGTACCAGGAGAGCGAGAGCTGATGATTAAAACGATTTGAATCTGTTTTGGAAGGTTTATTAGCTATTCAAATCTGATTTATTAATCGCAGATGTTTAGTAATACAATTTCAGCCATCTCTTTTATTTTCTGAGTTTGGTTCTAATTGTTTTGCAGAGTGTACAAAACACTTCTTTCGAAAATATTGCAGATACCTGACAATTCGAATATGCCACTTGGTCGATGAACTAAATACGACTTATTATGGTTATGTCAATGATGAATAAAAAGGTGCACTAATATGATGGGAGACCGTGGTTACAAACTAAGCGATTGTTGTGTTTGGTAGGAGATAAGATGTAAGAAAATTAATATTGCTTGTTTGTTTAAGTACATGATCTTCATTTTACCTGAAACGGGATATTTTTGCTCTAAATACTTTAATGGTACTTTGTCGGATACTATAAAGCGTTTTTTTGTTTCAGGTTGTTTGTTTATTATTTTGCACACAGTCCCCTCTGAATCACTATCTTTTGCTTATTTGTCGTCTTTAATTATTTTTGTTACCTAAGATGAATATTATACCTAATTTTGACATGTGAATGTAATCTTTTCAACAGTTGGCATTCCTTGATCACGTGGTAAAAATAATCTGGGTATATAACAAAAGAAAAGAAAAAAATGTGATCATTTAGTGTAATGAAAATGCTATTTTACAAGCAAACAAAATTAAATTTTATGTTAATTACAAACAAGGCATTGAATATGTACAGTAGCTGTCATTATTTAAGCTGAAAACACAGTGTCGACTAAGATTGCTGGTTTGATGGCACCCGTAATGTTCTAAATTGTATTGACACATGTATTTC